TAGCAAAATATTATATATATGAAGCATATAAATACACAGACATAGAGAAGTAGATCTGGTAAAGTTATATGGATTCTTCATTGTCAGTTTTTAAGTTTTTCTTTTTCATTTTAGATCATCAGTCTCTTGATTACCTGTTCCCTGCCCTAAACAGTTTTTAACCAGGTAGTTCCAAATTTTTATTTTAAAGGGATCAATCTTAGGTGAAATAAAATACATAATTTGTATTTTATCTAAACCAAGGAAAAATGTGGGGGTTTCAGTCAGGATGGCCAGGAAAGGCAGACACTCTTCAATTTGGAGATTTGGAGATTGGTTAACTTGAGGTTGATATTAGATGCTGGCAGGAGTCTGTCTTCTTTAAAAGAGCTACATATATCCAGGAGTCAATTCCTTGTACCTTAACACCACAAAGATTAGTTAATAGCACCTGATAAGAACTTTTTCAGGGTGTTGGAGGTGGTGATACACTTCACAGTGATTAATTTTTTTTAGCTTTGATAAGCCCCAGCAATAAGTCAGAGACTTAATTTAGAATTCAATTTTGGAGATGTCTGTCAAAGATGTTAGAAAGCTTAAAATATTTGATCAAAAGCAAACTACAGATCCTGGTAAAACAATAGTTACTCATTTAACCAAAGTGATCATTGACAGACTTTAAAGGCAATACAGAAAGTTACACATGTGTAAAAACCTTACGCCTTTCAAATTTCATAGGTTTTTAAAACCAATTAAAGACTTTATAAAGGTAACGTAGGAACTATCTTGATGAAATGTAAACTCTTGTTTCTTAAGGCAGTTACCAAAAAGTCAAAGGAAAACCCTTTTAAGTGCGACTGCCTCTCCTTAGGGGAAAGCCCATTTAGATAATCTGGAAGTATAACTTATAATAAAAAGTGCTTGAATTTAGTCAAACATGGGAAGAGTGTGTACACGGTTATGAGTAGAACTGGGGAATAGATGACTCTTAGTAGCTGCATTGTAAGTTTCCTGATAACAGTGAAAATTTAGACACACCAAAAGAAAAAAAACCAAGAGTATAGAATCAAGTTATCCTGCAGGAAAACACTGGTTTTATAGACCTCTAAGATAAAATATTTCAGCATCAGGCCACAACATTTAGAACTAAGAAAAGTTACAGGAGCTGACAGGAAGCTGAAGGATAGAGTTATCCCAGGGCACGTCAAAGGGAGAAAAAGCTGATAGCAGCAAGACAACAATTGAACATTTGAGATATGAATCTCAGAAGTTTCAAAAGAAGTCGATTATGGAATAGAAAATCAAAATTTCTTGTCATTTTATTAAGAGCAAATTGATACCTTAAGAAAATATTGGTTTAATATAGGGGACCATTCTTTAGAAAGACTATTATAAACAATTCCTTTTTAATTATACCTAACTTAATTACATACAAAATTCCTTTTATAAATTCCCCTTCACAAGCCTTATCATGACTTACACAGACCATCTGTCACATGGTTGGACTGTATACTTGTCCTATGGTACCTGTTCCTTTTTAAAATTATTTTTGATTTTCTTTTTCTAGATTAATCTTGTAATAAGAACCTGTTTCTTAAATAACCAGTCATTTTCCTTTAGGAGAATAATTTACCATGCAAGATTCTTTCTCATATAAAATTGCTCTTTTTTCTTGATAACCTTCCTTACCAAAATACATGTTCTTGTCTATTTCTTCACATCTCTCTTCACCATTTACTGCTTTCCTTTCTAGTTTGTTTCATAAATAACCTTTTCAAACTCGTAATTTGAATCAACTTTTTGAATTAGAGAAAATAATTCTTTTTCTCAATAAGGACACCTCTTCTTTGGCACATTTTATAGAAACCTAGGAAAAAAGAAATTCTTAACTATCAGATGTTAGTATTATATAGATGAGAAACATTTCATAATTTTTAGAACAGCTTTCTCTATAATAACCCTTTCTTAATTGGAATTGACCCAGACATCCAGTAAGCATCCAAAATGATTTTAAGATTTTAAATTATACAAAAATTTCACTTAGAACCATTGATCTCATTGACGTGTACTCAGTTTTTCCATTTAACAGTTCACCTAGAGTACTTTTTAAAACTGGGATGTTACCCAAAAGTAGTAATTATTTAGTTATGTCCCTAGTACCCATTTTTAAAGTCTGTGGACATAAGGTGTTTTACCTAAGTAGGAACCTTAAAGTTCAATATATGCACATTTTGTTAATAGCACAGAAGATTTAACTGTTTTCATTGAACTAGTAATATTAAATTAGTCTAGCTCATCTATAAAATCACATAAACAAAAATTATTCTGTTTTTGGCTGGGTTTATGGTCTTATAGTCTTTATGTCATATCCTGACACCTTAATGTGTAGACAAAGATAAATACAAAACCATTTTGTTCAGTAAACTCAGATAAAATATGCTGATCATTTTGAAGATATTTCTAATATGATGTCACCAATAATCTTAAAACCAGTTTTATTTGTCAAGGTTTACTAAATTTATGTGAACTTGAAAAGCTTCTCGACTTAATTTATGAGCACTTATTTACTTGTAGGTCAATTTGGTAGCAGGCTAGACGTAACACACAAACGTGTCTACATATGTACATACAAACATCTACATATGTACATACATGCAAACATCTACATATGTACATACAAACATGTATACATATGTACATACACAAATATATCTACATATGTACATACACGCAAACATGTCTACATATGTACATACACGCAAACATCTACATATGTACATACACGCAAACATATCTACGTATGTGCATACACACAAACATATCTACATATGTACATACACACAAACATGTCTAAACAGGTATACACACACAAGGAAATGTCTCATAGCTTTTACCTTGGGATTCTAACCGTAAAGTAACAGTACACACTCAGTATTTTATAAAAAATAGCTGGACACACATTATTGTCTGACAAAAGTGGAACCTGTTTCCATGGCTAAATTGTGTTTTCTCCAATATATAATCTGTGAAAGCTGTGAACCAAACTTTGGGTAAAGCAATCTTTATGGCAGTTTTGTTTTTAAAAAAGCATCTTTTACCTTTTTTTTTTCCTTCAGTTTTAAACAAGTTTCCTTTGTTTACTTTCTAATTAGTCCGTAAATAATGTGTCTTATCACAGCACCAACAGCTTAGTAACAGCCAATCTGAAGCAGGCAGAAAAGAAAACAGGAAGAAAGAGAGGTTTTGATGACTCTGCTTCACTTAACAGCTGCAGTTAACCATTTGAGCTCTCAAGTTTTCTTGCTATAGTTTGTCTCTCTCTTTAAAATGTTCACAGAAGTAGGTCTTAATAAGCAGCCAGCTGAAATCCAGAAGAGAATGAGAATATGAAGTTCCTGCCAGGCTTCTGCAAAGGAGCCAGGTTTAAAACCTGGCTCCTTTAAAAGGAGGGAAAGAGAAAAAGATAGAAAAGGAGGTTTGTGAACCTTCTAGCTGCTGCATGGTATAGGGTTGGTATCCCCACCACTCTTGCTGACATCCCATCAGGGAGAGCCCCAGTACCCTGGACATGCACAGTGTGAGACGAATCCCTCCCACCTCTACAAGTCATGGGCAAAGGAAACTGTTTACAGCTGGCGAGAGCTAGCGGTACCTTTGACTGAGATGAGTAAGGCTGTAGGTGGCTTCCAAGATAATCAGGAAGATGAAGTTGAAAGTGAAAAGGATAGGAAGAGATCAGGGCCCACACTCAAAGGTCATACACTCACACTTACAAAGAGTGAGCTTCCAAACAAACCCCAGTTAAGGGCTGCGTAGAATCCTGAATTTCTTTCCTGTGTTCAAAACAGCTCCACAGGTATCTGAAACCAAGTGGAGCAATGCCCAGGAGTGCCACAAAATCAAATCGGTCAAACACTCAAATGATAGTCCTGTTAGTGAACAAGACGAAACAGCAGAGCCCCAGCGACACCCTAGAAGACACAGGAAAGCTGGGCGCAATCCGAACAGCTCACTTGGTTGCAAGGGTTGCCAGCCAGCTTCTTCAGAGATCACATTCTTTGTACCAGCAAAGTGTCGATGGCTGCAGAAGTTGTGGGAGGAAGTGAAAGGGAGGGTCTAGGAAATGAAAGATTTTCAGTAGCCCCTTGGAAGTTCCCTAACATTCCTGCCCTGGGGTCTGCTAGCCTTCAGCTGCTGGTACTCACAGGTAACCCTCCGCCTTGGTAGCAAAACCAGGCTCACAGGCTTGGGTTGCCCAGAGCACATAATGCTCCCCATATGGGCCACCAAATTTGTTACCAAACACAGGTTTGGCTCCTTGTCACTGACACTATCAAATAACAAGCATGAGGGTGGTAAAAAGAAAGTGACTTTATTTCACAGTTTAGCAATGGAGAAGAACCAGGTTGGTATCTAAAGGAGCTGCTTGTTTTCTGGGAAGAAAGCAGGGTTTTAAGAAGAGAAACCTTATGCTGGGCATGCAAGGAACATGGAGGTGCGGATTCTACGTGACTTGCTGTAAAACTTAGCTAAGAGGTCATTGGTTAGTCTGAGCAGTGTCATTGAGAACAGAGTCGGAATGTGGATTAACTCTTGTCTTGAGACAGACAGTAGCTTTAAAGTGCAAAGGAAACTGGAGATTGTTAAGGAAAATCAGTGAAGGGAGAAACCTTTATTGGCTTCTCCTCCTTTTGGTGACAAATGTTCTCTTATAAGTAGATAACTATACTTTAATTATTTCATAATGTAGTGATTTTACCAGCCACAACTAGCAGCATAACATAGGAAAGGCAGGTTGGTGTCCACACAGGGTCACTAAATCTACCTAATACACCATTTACTTTATTTCTAAAAATATCCTTCATCCTTGGGCTTGATGCAGGATCACTGAGTCATGGAAAACTTTGTGTTTTTGTAGTCAGAAATGAGATGAAAGCATAAAGGTGAATTATTCTTTATTAAAGAATTCATTTAAATTACTTTTCTTTGTATCTTTGCTTTTTGTTTCTGTACTGCTCCAGTACTCCCGTGAACCATGTCTGAGTGGAGTAATGATGGCACCACAGTCCAGCCTGCATGGGTGTTGGCCTGAGTGCTCCCGCCTCATGAAATTCAGCCACCTCTTTCTCCAGTCAGTTCCATCTTCTCAACTCCGACTGTCTTCCAGAGTCCGTGTCACACCACAGCCTGGAAACTCTCCCCAAGCAGTAACCTGAAGCAACAGTAAACCCTCATTATTTCACCTCTGTCAGATGTCACTGTCCTTCATTGTTTGATGTGCACTGTCTTGCAATCCATCCTTCCAGATAAATCATCCATTTTAAATGTGATAAGCCATGTCCAATCCCCATAAGTTTTACCACAACATTTTGTTTCATTCTTCCTACAGTTACTCCATCATTACTGTACCACCGCCTATATGGATGTAGTTGTCAGTGTGAAGCTGAGTAAGGAACAACGTGCACCAGACTCACAGAGAAAAATGGACAAGCGAGCTGGCCTTTGTATCACTAAAGGGAAGGTCAGATTGGTGAATATGTAATGTCTGTAGTAGTCTTGTTGGGGACATCCACAGCATGTCAATGAGTCAAAGACTTAAGTAGGATCTCAAAGAAATAATAATGTCTCTATCTAAACACTTATACACATAATAGACTTATTTACACTTACAGTTCGTCTAGAGTTTTAAATTTACGTTTTATTCATATAGAAATGAAAGCAATATTGAAATTAATCCTTAAATTAACTCACACATATCTTGATATTCTGATTATGTTTGTTTTGAATTAGGTTTTGACACTTTTTCAAAGTGATTATTGATACAGTTGGATGAATATCACCATGTTTGTTACTTCTTCTCATTTTTGCTCTGCCCGTTTCCAGTTTTGTCTTCCATTCATTTTCCTTTTTTGTGGTTTTTATTCAGCATTTCATATAATTCAATATTCTTTCTTGGCATCTCAGACTTTTTTATACTTTATTGGTTACTCAAGGTAAGAAAAGCTTTTAATTTTCATATTCTTAATGGATCTTACATATAAGAGCTTATTTAAAATAATTATATTCAATAGCAGACAGGTGTCTTTCTAAAAAATAGTAGCAAGGCTGGGCGCGTTGGTTCAGGCATGTAATCACAGCAGTTTGGGAGGCCCAGGTGGGTGAATCACCTGAGGTCGGGAGTTCGAGACCAGCCTTGCCAACATGGTGAAACCCCATGTCTACTAAAAAAATACGAAATTTAGCTGGGTGTTGTGACACACATCTGTAATCCCAGCTACTCAGGAGGCTGAGGCAGGAAAATCACTTGAATGCGGGAGGCAGAGGTTGCAGTGAGCTGAGAATGCACCACTGCACCCCAGCCTGGGTGACAGAGCAAGACTCTGTTTCAAAAAAATAAAAGCAATTTATTTAATTATATTTTTGTAAGTATAGGATATATGCACACCTATAAGTAAAATGAAAGACAGGAAAAGAGGGACAAAAGGAAAAACACAGGAAAAAGAAATAGAACTATTATAAGATGGTTACACTACTTCTGAAGCAGTATAATTTTATATGAAAGGAGCTTAGATTAGTTGTAAATATAAATTGCAACCTCTAGGGCAGGATACTGGAACGGGAGCCTCAATTTTTCAATGTCTGTGGCCAGAGGCTGCATTCAGTTATTTCCTATGTTGGCTTCTCTCCCATGGCAGAATGTGTCATCAAAGCCACCATGGGAGAGAGTCTGCAGCAAGACAGGTATCATAATCTTAGGTAACATGATTACTCAAGTGACGTCCTATCACGTTGTAGTCTTCTGATGTATCAAAGCAAGTCTCGGTTTCTCCGCAAAGTCAAAAGGAAAGGATTAGAATATTGGGTTATGTACACCAAGCTGTGAGGATCATTGCGCACCATCTCAGCGCTCACCTGCCAACATCAGGTCTTACTTAATCTGGAACAGGTTCTCAGTCCTCACTTACTTTGCTGATCTTGGCCTTTGTGAGAAAACAGGTCACATAATTTGTAAAATGTATCAGAATCTGGATTTCTCTGAATGTTTCTCATGATTTTACTGAGCCATATAATAGAGACATGTAATTATCTATTTGTGAAGACAAGAAACAGCAAACAGGACATTATTTACAAATACAGATTTAGAGACCAAAACTAAGAAAGAAATGTTTGCAAGTGGAAAAGGAAAATTAAAAATAATAGTAATGTTCACCAGGGTAACAAAAAGGGTAGGAATAGGGAAGTGAGCACCTGGGACACTACAAGATCGACAGTGTTCTGCTTAGTAAGCTCAATAGTATAATTTTAAAATATATATGTTTTATTTATTTGTTTGTTTGCTTGTTTTGTTTTTTTGGTTTTGGGTTTTGTTTGAGACGGAATCTCCCACTGTTGCCAAGCTGGAGTGCAGTGGCACAATCTCGGCTCACTGCAAGCTCCACCTCCCGGGTTCAAGCGATTCTCCTGCCTCAGCCTCCCGAGTAGTTGGGATTACAGCCGCCCGCCACCACGCCCGGTTCATGTTTGTGTTTTTAGTAGAGACAGGGTTCCCCATGTTGGCCAGGATAGTCTTGACCTCGTGATTCACCCGCCTCAGCCTCCCAATTTGTTGGATTACAGGCATGAGCCACAGCGCCCGGGCTATTTATTTGTTTTTTTAAAATCTTTTTTACAAAACTTTTGAATTTACAGATAGTTAGAAGTACATACAGAGAGTTTATATATACTCAACACATAATTTCCCTTTTATAAATTCTTACATTCATTTGAAACACTTGTTGCAGTTGGTGAACCAATATTATACATTATCATTCACCAACATTCACGATTGATCAGATGTTCTGTTTCGCGTAACGTCCGTATTCTGTTCCAGGATTCCGCCCAGGACACCACATCACATTTAGGTATCTTGTGCCATTTTCTCAGATTTTTACTATTTCTGATGTCATTGAAATCCCTCCTTTGGGATGTCTCTGGTGTTTTCCTAATGACTGGATGGCCGTTGTGGATTAGCAGAGGAAAACCACAGAGGGAAGGTTTTATTCTCATGATATTGTGACAAGAGTACATAGTATCAACATGCTCTATCACTTTTTTTTTGAGATGGGTCTCACTTTGTTCCTCAGGTTGGAGGGCAGTGGCGTGAACAAAGCTCACTGCAGCCTCGAACTCTTCGGCTGGAATGATCTTCCTCCTCAGCTTCTTGAGTAGATGGGACTGGCAGGCATGTGCCACCACATCTGGGTGATTTCATTTTACTTTTACTTTTATGGAGGCAGAATCTCAAGACATTGCCCAGGCTGGTCTCTAAGCCCTGGCCCCAAGAGATCCTCTCACCTCAGGCTCCCAAAGTGCTGGGATTACAGGTGTGAGCCGCTGTACCCAGCTGCTTTATCATGGTTAATGTTATTTGATCCATGGATGAGGCAGTTTAGCTCAGTTTTCTTCACTATAAAATTAATATTATTCCTCTTTTCATGTTGTACCTTTGGAAAAAACATCACTATGCCCAGCGCATTCATAGAAAGTAGGAAATTATGCCCCATTTCCCTATGGGCAGACTTTCTATAAACATCATTTGAGTTTCTGTAAAAAACATTTAACCTTCTTTGGGCTGTTCTGGATCACTTGCATTTTTCTGTGTGTTTTAGAATCAGTGGTCCAAGAACTGCTAAAAATGAAAAAAATTTAGAATTTTAGTAGGGCTTGTATGATTCTGAAGGTGTATTTAGAAAGTATAAGCATCCGGTTAATACTTAATAGCTTTCTGATCAATGAAAAACTAGTTTATATAGTATATTACACTAATTCTTGTATTCATTTATTTAGGATTCTTTAAGACTTCAATATGATTTGTAATTTTCAGTATATATATCTTGCAGTTATTATGTTATTTTCAAATATATTTCCTTTTTGGATGCCATGTTATATGAAATTATTTTGAGTGTCATTATTTGATTAGTTTGTATTGTATAAGAATGCAATTTATTACATTGATAATGCATACTGAATTTTGTTTTTGTTTCAACGTTATTTTAGTGGATTTTTTAGGATTTTCTATATATTAGGTTATGTCACTGGCCAACAGATTGTTTGACTTCTTCCCTTTCAATTTGGAAGTCTTATATTTATTTTGCTATCCTACTTTTATAAATTATGTCCTCGAGCATAATATTTATTGAATTAGTGGGAATAGGTAACCTTTTGGTTTGTAATTTTGGGAATATTACTGAGACCTACTTGATACCATGTGTTGTCATGTGAATTTTTCATCGGTGCCTGTTTTAGGGAAGAACATTCCCTTTATGCAAAATTTGCTTAGTGTTTTTACTGTGAGTGGGTTTTTGAATTGGAAAGTGCTTATTCCATATTTTAGATGTGATAATGAAAATTTTGTTGTTATATTAATATAGTTATTACACTAATTGTTTTTATATGTTTTACCAAACTTATGATCCTGAGTAAATAAATAAATTAGTGTTTAATTCTGTTTTACAATCCTGATTTGTGTTGAAACTATTCCTTGAGAATTATTGCCTAGCTATCCGTAAAGCATATTAGTTTATAGTTTCATTTTTTGGATTGTCTTGTCTGGTTGTTACCTCAGAGAAAACTGCCTCATAGGACACACTGCACACTGATCTCTTCTCTGTTATTTTATTTTTTTGGAGAACATTAGTAAAAAATTGCTGTTGTTATTTTAAAGGTTTGGAATAATTCATCAGTGTAATCTTCTCAACCTGGTCAATCACATGAACTTAGAAGATGATTCCTCCCCAGCTGATCCTTCAGGTGAGACCTCAGCCTTTGCAGTCATCTACATGTAGATTCCTGACCCAGAGAAACTGTGAGTAATTTGTGTGTGCTTTGAGCCACTAAGCTATGAGGTAATTGGCTATGCTGCAATAAACAATAATACACTTGATGGTAAACATAGTATGTTATCCTTGATTAGATCCAAAAAAAGAGAAAATGGCATTAGTGGAAACCTGGTAAAATATGAACAGTCAGTACTTTAGTTAATAGTTTTGTGCCTTTGTCAGTTTGTGAGTTTTCACAGATAGTCATGGTTAGTTATGATATTAATGTTGCAGGAAATTGAAGGGTATATCAAATTTTGTAAGTTTTAACAACTCTCTATAAAATCTAAAATTCATATTTCAAAATAAATAGAAGTGTAGACATGGCTCATAATATTTGAGATCAAGATCTTCCTGTTAACTTAACTTAAGCTTTCATGGAACCTAAAACTCATGGTACAAATGCAATAACATTAGAAAATATAAATGAGATGAGTTTCTATTTTACTCACTCTATTCTTTAGGAACACTAAAGTCCATTTCTTCTTCTCAGGTATCCAAAACTCAAGTTGATCCAAGTAAACAAGTGGACGGCATAAAAGATTGTATGAAACCATAGCATCTACATCTTCAGTTACTAATCATAAAATGATTTGTATGATCATTCTTTACATGATTAGAATGACTATGGGAAAGAAGAAAAAGAAATGCAACTTTCTTGATTTAAAAATCGTATCTGTGCAAGAGTGGTGGCACACCCCTGTAGTCAGTCCCAGCTGCTAGGGAGGGTTGTTAGGAGTATCATGTATACCAGGAGTCTGAGCTGTGTAGTGTGCTATGATTGTGCCAGTGAATAACCATGCCTCCAGCCTGGGCAACATAGTGAATCCTCATTAAATAAATTAATTAATAATACATAAAAATAAGTTACAGATTCATTGTTTACATTTCATTTATTAGGGCTCAAATCCTCTAGTAGAGATTTTTCTTTGTTTGTTGTTTGTTTGACGTTGGAGTCTCACTCTGTCACCCAGGGCTAGAGTGCAGGGTGCATCTCAGCCACTGAAACCTCCACCTCCACCAGTTTGATGCCATTTCTCCTGCCTCAACCTCCCGGAGTAGCTGGGACTGCAGGTGCCTGCCACCACGCCCGGCTAATTTTTTGGTTTTGGTAGAAACGGGTTTCACCGTGTTAGACAGGATGGTCTCGATCTCCTGACCTCATGGCCCACCTGCCTCGGCCGCCCAAAGTGCCTGGATTACAGGTGTGAGCCACTGCACCAGGCCGAAATTTTTCTTTATCTTGGGAGAGCTACGACTCCAGTGCAAACTTTTCAAATAATGCTTTGCCATTTTTACTTTCCTCTCAAGGATTCCCTGGAACTATAGTTGTAACAAATTATCACACAGCATGTATTTTATTTTTACTTCTGTTTGTCTAAGCCTCTATGGACGTGGCTATAACCTATAACCTTCCCAGTACCGACTCAGGGGTTTGTACTGACTGTGCCTTTCATGGGTGCTTTGCTTATCCTGATCGATGACCTTAAAGCCGAACTGTCCAGCTTACATCCGGGTATCTTTCTCAGAGAGTACTTGTTTACTGCTGAGACACCCTGTGGATCCTGTCTGACCTGTGTCTAGTTTATTTCTTACCAAGTTAACCACTCTTTTAGAAGAGTGCTACGTGGGAGAAAAGTGGGTCCATGTGTGTTCGTCAAGTGAAATACAGAGGAGGCAACTCAACACAATGTGTATAATAGCGTTAGTAATGTATACTAACCAACCCCAGTAAGAAGAGGCCAGCATTCCTTGAAGTGCCAGTGAAAAGAGAAGAGCTCTGCAGGCCACACACTCATAAGCAGCAGGGGTGATTGAGGAGGAATAGAGAAAGACATGCTATTTGCCATTGTCTGAAGTCTTTATGGGTGTATTATCAAATTTTTTTTTTTCTACAGTGAGGTAGATAGGTAGGTAGGTAGGTAGATAGATGCGTAGATGGAGAGTTGATGATAGAAAATAGTTAGATGAATGCATTTTGTTTGGGATTACTCGTTGTAACATTGTAGAGACGGAGAATTCCCAAGACAGCCATCTGCGAGTTTAAGGACCTTGGATGCTGTAGCGTGATGGCTACAGTCTAAAGCTGAAATCTTCAGAACCAGGGAAGGCTCTGGTAGTAATTCTCAGTTTGGACCAATGGCCTGAGAATCCAGGACATTACTGGTATAGGTCTGGAGTTTCCAAGGTCATAGATCATGGTAGTTGTATTTTCCAAGGGCATGGAAAGGAGTATTACTTTCTCCTGAGAGAGACCGGGAAAACTTTTAAAATTTTTTCGTTTTGGTTCTATTTGGTCCCCAAGGAGATTGTATGCGCCTTCCCTCATTGAGGCTGGGATTTTCCCACTAATTCCCTGACTCATACCAACCTCCTCGGAACACCCTGGCAGACACACCAGAAGTATGATTTATCCAATTCTCTAGGTATTCTTTAATCCAGTCAGCGTCTTAAATTAACCATGACAAGTCCAGCACCTTTCTAGTTGGCACCTATCATGTATCACCCAAGCCATAACTAATCTTTAGATACAGACAATAACAAGGCAAAGTTCTACCTAACATGATGCAGCCATCCTGTGTTGCAACCAAAACACACTATAGTATTTCTCTTAAGAGCAGTGGAAGTTTGTGGGGTGATGTTTACTCTTCTCCTGATACCCCATAACTTCAATACAAGTATGTTAAATTGCTAACACTTAACTGTTAGTATCAAATTTAACACATTCTTGTGTTTTGTGATAAAAAGAAGAAGAGAGAATAAGACGTTATTTGCCTAATATATTGTAATATAACATGCAAATGTATTCTTAACAAAGTAGGTAGGAAATTACTAGTGACAATTTAAATCCTGTGTTCTGTAACTGGTCACCTGGTGCTGTCTGGTATGTATGCATCTATTTATTTTTACATTCTATTTTTATTTTTATTTTTTGACACAGAATCTCACTCTGTCTCCCAGCTGGAGTGCAGTGACATGATCTCGGCTCACTGCAAGCTCCGCCTCCCTGGTTCATACATTCTTCTGCCTCAGCCTGCTGAGTAGCTGGGACCACAGGAGCCCGCCACCTACGCCCGGCTCATTTTTTGTATTTTTAGTAGAGACGGGGTTTCACCGTGTTAGCCAGATGGTCTTGATCTCCTGCCTGTGATCGACCTGCCTCAGCCTCCCAGAGTGCTGGGATACAGGCGTGAGCCCTGTGCCTGGCCTTGTCTGGTATTTATAACTCCCTTCCACTGCTACCCATCTGTATTCTCTTTGTCTTCAGCAATCCCCTTTGCTGGTCCTGGGTCTTTATATGGCAGGGTGATGCAAACCTTCATTCCTGAAACACCTGGAGCAGTTGTATTCTTTGTCTGGAATGGTTGTAATAATCCATTGAACTTAATAACAGGGAATAGTAATACTAAGACTTTGTTTTAGTCCATTTCTGTTACTGATAACAGAATACCAGAAACTGGGTAGTTTGATAAAGAAAACAATGTATTTCATACAGTTATGGAGACTGAAAAGTCCAAGGGGTGACAGGTTGTATTGGCGAATCCTGTTGCTGGTTGGGACTCTCTGGAAGAGTTTCTGAAGTTACAGGGTTGTCATGATGGCAATGAGATAGTGGCTTGCTGACATGCAAGATCATGTCTCCCTCTTATAAGCCACTCTTCTCTCATAATAGACTATTATCTTTAAATATTAATGTATTGATCCATGAAGGATTAATTCACTTATGGGATCAAACTCTTCATGATCCATCACCTTTTAAAGGCCTCACAATTCAACACTGCCATGTGGGATGAATTCAGCATAAATTGGAAAAAGAAGCAATATTCCATCCCTAGCACTGCACTTCTGACTCTCTAAAATCACACCCTGTCACAAAGTTTTATTTCATTCCTATAGTTCCAAGGCTTAAATTGTTCTAGCACCAACAGAAGTTCTTAAAATCTAAACTTCCTCTGTCAGCCATGAAATCAAAACCAGATTCTTGATACAAAATTAGGCCAAAAATTCTAAAGTCTCCTCTGTCAGCCCACGAATCAAAACAAGTTTTCTTGATACAAATTGGCAGTTGGGTTGTTGATGCCCACTGGTTTCATGTTGGCTGCTGCACAGAGAAAGCCATTTACCAAGATAAGGAATTACTATAGAGAACATTTTATTACATGTAGAGCCAGCTAAAGAGAGAGCAGAGTTTTCATATACTCAAAACTGCTTCTCCAAATACTCAGAAACCTAGAGTTTTTATAGATAGTTTTGTGGGCAGGGGGGTTAGAGAAAGGGACATGCTGATTGGTTGGGTCAGGGTTGAACTCTTAGGAAGTCAAGCCATCTTCTTTGCTGACTCAGCTCCTGGGTGGGGCACATATCCAGATGAGCCAGTTTACTGGTTTGGGTGGCACCCGCTGATCTCTCAGAATGCAAGTTATGAGAAATACCTCAAACACCAATCTTAGGTTTTACAATAGTAATGTTATGTATAGGAGCCATTGGGGAGTTTATTAATCTTGTGGCCTCTGATTGTATGACTCCGGCCATGCTTTCTAATACGGTGCTTAATTTGTTAGTTTTACAAAGGTGATTGTGGTCCCTAAACAATGAGGGGTTTTGTTTCAGGGAGGAGCTGTTATTATCTTTGTTTCAAAATTAAGCTACAAAGTAAATTTCTTCCAAAGTGGGTTTTGTTTTTGCCCAGGAATAATCAAGGGCCGCTTGGAGGTTGAATGAAAGATGAAGTCACTTAGGTCATATCTCTCTCCCTGTCATAATTTTCTCAATTACTGTTTTTGCAAATGGGATTTCAATTTCCCCTTCTGAGTTTCATTGCATCTTATTCTTAAGGCGTGAGGTACAGAGTTGGGAAAAGGCCAAATATCATTCTAACTTCTTTCTGCTGACAAGGGGTATACTTGAGATAGGGTTTGGCCCCAGAGTAAATGGAATGAAACTGCTTTGTAGCTGTCTGCATGTATTCATAGATGCCTGGTTGGGGTTTCTAGGCTTGCATG